GTTGTAATGTGACAAAATATGGAAAAGTTCAAGGGGTATGAATACTTTTGCAAACCACTGTACAGTATATTTAAAGCAGCACCAATCAGAAGCCTAAGAGCATTTATTGACATAGAATTATGCTCAGATCATTGATGCATAAAATCTTGAATGGAGATTATAATTTCTAGCATTATGAGTCATCAGGAAACACGCCAGTTATTGGATTAGGATTTGGTATTTACTGCATATACATAAAAACCAAGGGCGTAATTTTAGGTCTACCATTGTGGGGGTTATGCTCTAAAACACTGCATGTCATTTTCAGCAAGTGTGCTTAAATGTACATATATGACATCCAATTTTTTAAATCATATCAAAGGTACCTGAAGAAAACAGAAGAGCTGCATCTGTGTACTTAACCAGTTCATTTCTATCGTGTTGGAGCAAATTATGTCATTTTATTGGGGGTTATATTCACTGGATCAAATTGTTGTGGGGGTCATAACCACCCCCAACCTCCCCACAAATTACATCTATGATAAACACATCTTCATTTTTTAATTAAACAAATATCTCAATATGTGTCTTGTTTTCTGCTGGAGTCTTGCATCAATTTTGCTTTTTTTAAAGTTTTTTTTTATATCCTGATATTCCTTCCTACACACCTGCATTCAGGTACTGCAACAAATTACACACGACCTAATTGGAGTTTTATGGAAAATACAAACATAAACCTCAGTCAAAACAATCAGGCCTAACTCTGCGATGCATTCTTTACAAAGCTTTAAATTCAACCTCATTTCAAATCCAACCTTATTACTCTGTGGTTAACACCAGAGTTAATTAAGTTTTTTTAAAGAACAAAACAGTATTTGTTGTTGCACTGCAGGGAATTCGTGTCTCTTATAGGAACTGAACTTGGACCGGCAGCCTCTCACTTTGGATTGCAGAGTTGCTGCTGTCTAGTCTATTTCTGTCTTCGCTACTCCATTGTCCTCGGTCGACTGCCTTCACATCAAGTGCTGGATTTATTTGGCCACTCTGCCAGCTCAGGCAGATAGACCCCCGCAGCTACCAACCAATATGCAAACGTTAAAGCCAGAGTTCAGATCTAACTGTTTTGACTGTTTTCTCCACAGCTCAAGTCCTGTTAGCATCTTTGAGATGTGGTGGATAAAAACGAGCCCCAGAGCTGTCGCCTTTTACATAATGATTTTCTTTTTCTGAACGGACGGGTAGTGTTAAGAGTTTCAGGCAAGTTAGTCTTCTCTCTTAAGTTTCAATCTTCTAGGTTTACATCGTACCCAAGGAGGATAATGATCTTAATTAGCTCCAACCGCAATGAGCACATTACACACTTCCTTAGCAGTACACAACAAACCACTGCGACCTATCATTTGAAAAACATAGAAGAAGAAACGGGAGGGTTTAATTACACCAGAAGACTGATTTAATTAGCTGGGCCGACTGCATTTCATGACCTCTCAATTACGAAGCTCCCAACAGTGGAGGAAACTGATATTATGCCAGATTTATGTGGCATCTCTTGCTGTTTTATTTTATTTTATTTTTTTGTAAATGATGAAAATAAAGTTCCCAAATCACATCCTTAATATAGACATCACTGGGTTTTTAATAAGCTCCTGCTAATATGATTTTTCTCAGAGCACCACAGTGGTAGTCAGGTACTGACGTGTTAACATACTGTAAGTATTTGAGTTTCTTTTTTATTTTTTCTTGACACAAAAGCAAGAACCCCCGACTCAAAGGTCTCCATGGGAGAGTTTTAGAGTGGGATGTTGAAAGGTCTGCTCTAATCTTGGCATAATCACCTGAACTATTTGAGCCAGCTGCTGCAGTCGTTTTAAAACACCTTTTAGGTGGTTGGCATTTCATTTAAAAACTAGTACTGCTAATAAAAAAGAAAAACTGTGGGATTAAAAATGAGTCAAAATGTGTATGACAAATAATGTTAAATGGATTGGATTGGAAGTGAGAATTTTGTAAAGTTTTTGTTCAAGATCCACTGTTTTATCTCATTTGAGGAAAAACAACAAGTGATTAGGATACGGGCAAAATGTATGTTAAGATGAAAAATCTGATCAAAGAAAATAAAACTTTTACAATGCTCATGCACTATTACATTTTAAAATGTACTCTCTTGCATTTACATTGATGATTTTACATATAATTTTTTTTATTGTGAATTTTATTTGTTTGCAGAGACATCCTCACATCTTTCAAATGCAATAAATTTATGACTGGTCCACAGCTTTGAGATTGTTTTTTTCATGAATTTCTGCATTTTTCCCCCCTGCATATTTAAATTGTGGTTAAGAATGCCCTCTAGTGTTGTTAAAGCACCAACATGTACCTCTGAAAAGAGATTCAGTCTTCATTTGGCTTTCTTTTGTACTATTGAGAGAGGTATTTTGTTATTCTGAACACACAGAAGGACACAAAACAAGTTTCTAATTCTCTGCTCCCTTCTCTCTTTAGGTACATTCGCACCATGTACCTTGGCATTCAAAGTCACCGGCAGAAAGAGAACCAGAGGCGCTTTTACTGGGCTATGATGTACGAATATGCTGATGTCAACATGCTGCGACTGCTGGAGACCTTCTTAGAAAGTGCCCCTCAGTTGGTGCTGCAGCTCTGCATCATGATCCAGAGCAACAACGCTGAGTGGCTGCAGTGTAAGGAGCTTTCCTGAGGCTTTTGCACGAGCAACACTTGATATTTTGCATGTGATCTTGGATACCTCATCTTGTTTTGCATTGCATGTCATACTTAAGCTTTTGCTGCCACATGACGCTGAGATGATTCCATTATCTACACCTGAAAAATCCATTATCCGCCATGTGCAGGTATCGCTTTGTTTACGCCAAAGCATTGTATCCGGTTTCCGACATTCATCACTGCTGTTACTGAAACCACTTTTACAACTCCCGTTTCCTCATGCAATACAGTCCCCAGAGGATAGCAGTTCAATCATAACAAGTGATATCCTTCGTGGGTCGGGGGTGCCTATAGAAATGCCATCAATACATTTGCTGAGAGGCTCCATGTTGCTGCTCTGCAGAATCCTCAATCATTTGTCATTCAGTAGCTTACTCCTCTGACATATTTGCTGTCTCTACCATTATAGATGTCTTAAGGAAACTGAATTGGTCCACTAAATGGAGACTGTGTTGACTGGATGATGTGTGATGATCTAAGTAATAACAGGACTTTCAATGTTGTGATGGATTGCTTTGGCTGAAATAAAATGTTCTGTTTACTGAGTGGGACAGCAGTCAGGTTAAGCTGAAACCATTTGTTTTTAAGTTATACAGTATAATTAAATAAAAATAGGCCTTGTAGTTTTGAACGTTTTAAGATCCATCTATCACTATGCATTGGTACCCCTGTCATTTTCTGATTTCCACTTTTTGTTTTGTCTCTCTTCATATTCCCAGGTCTTTCTGCCATGTCCTCCCTCCTGTCCCTGGCCTGGGTGCTAGCTTCTTACCACAAACTCCTGCGTGACTCACGTGACGACAAGAAGAGCATGAGTTATCGAGGCGCCCTGGTGCATCTGTTCTGGCGCCTTTTTACCATCTCTTCGCGGGTGCTCTCCTTTGCCCTTTTTGCCTCGGTTTTCCACATCTACTTTGGCATTTTTGTGGTGCTCCATTGGTGCGCCATGGCTTTCTGGGTCATCCATGGCGGCACTGACTTTTGCATGTCCAAATGGGAGGAAGTACTGTTCAATATGGTGGTGGGCGTGGTGTACATCTTCTGTTGGTTCAATGTACGTGAGGGCCGGACGCGGTACAGAATGGTGACCTATTACATAGTGGTACTGTTAGAGAACGTCATCCTAACCTCACTTTGGTATGCGTACCGCGACCCAGCCACCACTGACGCCTATGCCTCTATTGCCATCTGCGGCGTCTTCCTGTGCTTTGCCTCAGGTGTAGCCTGCATGGTTCTCTATTACGGGGTTCTGCACCCCATGGGCCCCCGACTGAGGATGTTAGCCAGCTCTTGCTGTGCGGAGCTGCTGTGGGGGCTTCCGTTACCACCTGAAGCTGAGCCGATGGCTCCGACTCCAGGGCCTCGTGGCTCTCAGGCCACACCTACGCGAGGTGTGGCAGGGGAACACATGGAGTCAGACGAGACAGCAACAGACACCTGCCTTCCGGTTTTCCAAGTGAGGTCTACAGAGCCTGTGGATGCAGCTGGCAGGCCCATTCCGCCTGAGGGTCCCCTTATCAAAATAGACATGCCCAGAAAACGCTACCCAGCTTGGGATGCGCACTTTGTGGATCGGCGCTTGCGCAGGACCATAAATGTGCTGCAGTACATTAGCCCCAACGCGGTGGGCATCAGGTACAGGGACGGTCCACTTCTTTATGAACTCCTGCAGTATGAGTCCTCCCTCTGAAGCCACCTCCTATGGTTCTGTCACCCACTTTTACACAGAATGATGCACATCCTTTCATTTTTCTCTTCACTTCCGTTCCTCAGCTGTTATCTCTTTCTGTTTGGCCTTGGGTGATCCTTTTTAATTCATCAGTTTTCCTGCAAGACATAATTTACCAACCAGCCAAAAACCTGTTCAAATGCCCTAACACATATTTATGATTATTTTTGAAGAGGGTGAATTATACTGACAGAAAACTATGAACGTTACAGTATCATATTTGATATATCTATAAATATATATACAGGTGCTGGTCATAAAATTAGAATATCATGAAAAAGTAGATTTATTTCAGTAATTCCATT